GTAGGTCCCGGTCGTGTAATCGGGAATTCCGCCGGGGTGGAGGTAGAGGTACTGGCCGCCCCAGCTGCCGTCGACCATCCATTCCAACTCCCGTTGGGCCGTGCATCGTCCCAGGCCCAGTTGTCCCAACCGTTCCGGCGGGCCTCCAAGTGCCTTGCAGCCACTGTCGCCAAGCCTCATCGGACCATTGTCGTCGCCCCTGCACACCCGGCGCCCCATTGCCAGATGTAGGGTTTTCTCCCCAACCACTGTGGCCACCAGTGGTCCCGTTGTGGAGGTCGCTCCCCGGCTCGGTCGAGGATTGCTCGGTAGTTCCGGTTGTGTCGGAGGGGTTCCGAGGCTCAGCCGCTTCCGCCCTCCACCTCGTCCATGGGTCTTGCTCATCGTGCCATGGGTCTATGGGCTCTGCTTCGCGAACTGCGTCTGCGCTGGACTCGGTCGGCATCGCACACCACGCAAGGCTCCGCTACCAGTGTCAAACTGCTGAGAAGCAGCTGACACTGGCAGCTGCTACCCTAGAGGCTCACAAACCTTTTCCCGAAAGCTGACAATCACTTGTGCCTCCGTTCGGCGGTGATCACTGCTGCGCATCCTGTTCAGCACAACCGATCGCACTCACAGATTTACACCTACACCCTAAACCCTACACCCTAAACCCTAAACCCTGCACCCTAAACCCTAAACCCTGCACCCTAAACCCTAAACCTTAGTGTCTTGCTTTCGACGGGGCATTGGGAGTCCCTTTGGGCACCTGGAAGTCGAGGTGGATGGCATCAACGAACTCTACCAGGGTGAGGTGGCTGATGTGGAGCGGAAATTCCAGGCCGCGGGGTGGGGACGGAAGTTCTTGTTGAGGGGATTTAATTTAAGTTACCATAGTAAAGAAAATACTGTTTAGTATAGATCCCTGTTATGGTAGCTTAATTTAAGATTCCTTTAAACAAGAACCCAGTTTAGGCTTTAGGCGGAGTTCTGGGCTTAGAGGGATGGGTGCCGTGTCTTCCTTTTGACGACTGTGGTGCTGGCGGCGGTCCGGTGGCACGAAACTGGATAACATACGGGATTTTAATACTTAGAACGGGGTTTGGGGGTATATTCTACATAGTTATGATAAGGAGCCCCCAAACCCTATTCTACTTATTCGGAACCCTAAGCCCTAAGCCCTAAACCCCGAAGTGTTAAGGCCCCTACATTGCAACAAAGCCCAAAAGCCCTGAAGCTCCAGAGTCGGAGCCGTTTGAAGCCTTCTGTCCAGAGCGCGTTGTGTAGAAGCTTGAGGATTTAGGGTTTAGGGTGTAAGGTTTAGGGTTTAGGGTAAGTTTAAGGTTTGGGGTTTAGGGTTTAGGGTTTAGGGGGAAGGAGGGCAGACCGGTGTTCCAAGCGAAGCTTGAGAGCTTGGGTTGCAGTAGCTTAGAGTTTCGTAGGTTTCAGGGTGTTCGGGCTTTAGGGTTCGGGCTTCAGTAGATACCTCATTTAGTAGGGCAGGTTTCAGGTTTTAGGATTTAAGTTTATTAGGGTATTAGGGTTCAGGGTATGGTGTCTGCACAACCTCGAGCGAAGCCGGAAAGCCCAGATCTTACGATGGGGACTGGAATACCGCGGCCTGAAATAGGGTTTGGAGTTGAGGGCATACCCCAGGAGCTTGAATAATCACAATGGTAATAATAGGCGAGGGAAGCCCCCCCCCCCCCTGACCCCCAAATCCTAAAAACCTAAACCCTAAAATCTACCTAAAACCCTAAACGTCACTACACCCTGAATGTTTTAGACGTTTAGCCCGGCTGCCCCACATCAGAATCTCCGGACTTGCGAGATTACGAGGTTTAGGGCTTAGGGGTCTAAAGCCCCCAAAAACCGGCGAGCGCCGAAGCCTTAAATCCTCGAGCCGGAGTGCCCAACCCTCAATCCCTGCGCTGAACCCACCCCCAACCCCCGCCCCCCCCACCCTTACGGTTTAGGGTTTAGGGTCTAGGGCCCCGCCCTTGAAACAAACAACCAAAAAGCATGGCAAAATCACCAGTTCCATCCCGAGCCTTAGGCTGTAGGTCCCCCTCGAGCCTTCACTTCTTCTTGAACTCTAAACAGCCTGAGGCTCGCAACCAGGGTGCTCTTTCAGGACATAATTTTTGGGGCCTCATTTATTGCCAATAGTATTTTTGGCCTCCTTATTGCGAACATAGTGAACATAGTATAAAATACCCCAGAACTTATTAGGGCCCCTATATTAGGGGGATCTACCGGCTTCAGGTCGCAGGAAAGTCGGTGTTTTGGGGTTTTGAGTCTCGGGTTTCGGGCTTTAGGGTTTTGAGTCCAGGGTTTAGTTTTTTTCTTGGGGGGGATTGGATTTCAGAATCATGCGGATTTACAGTTGCAGGTGGTGGGGTTTTCGTAAGGGGTTCAGCGTTTCGGCGGGTCGGTCTTCTGAATTTCGCTGAATTCCGGTGCGGGCTACGCAGGCAGCGATCGGCATCGATGACAAGAAGCGACTGGTGAGGCTGGGGCTTAGGGTTCCGGGTAGGTCCAGGCTAGGACTAGGGGTTTAGGGGTTAATGTTTATGGTTTAGGGGCTTGCGGTCTAGAGTCTAGGGTTGTTCAGGGTTTGGGGGTTTAGGGCTTAGGGTTGCAATGTCGGCACTGTAGGATTCGCGGAGTCGCAGAGATTCCAGAACCCCATAGGTAAGGAATATAGATTGGAACACTCCGACAAGTAATGATTTGGGTGCATTGCCAAAGCCCAAGTGCTCAATCAACATACCTCAAGCCACAACACCTAAGCCCTAAACCTTACACCCTCAACTTCCAAGGGCCTTCAACAAAAGTACCCTTAGCCCTACTGAGCCCCCTGTAATGTAAGTGCTACTCCTCATTTACGGCAGTCGTTTTCTACGAATCCCTAAACCCTAAACCCTCAACCCTCAACCCTAAACCCTAAACCCTAACCCTAAACCCATGCTCCCCTGCCCCAGGCAGCTGAAGCCCTTCCAGCTGCTCTTCGGCACTGCCGCAGTGGAGTCGGGCCGGATGCCTGACAGGATGTTCGGCTTCTATAATGCTTCTATGAGGTCTATAATATAGACCTTCTATAAGGCTCCTATACCGGTAACTACCCAGCTGAAATGTCGTAGGTGTTTGGGTTGGCTGTTTGAGGTTTGGGGTACCGGGACGCCCTCAGTGCACATTCATGGAGCCCATATGGTTCTGAATAGTGGCTTAAAGGGTAGCTTGTGGTGTTACGGCAGGGTTCAGGGCTCAGGGTTTAGGCTTTCAGGATCAGTCCTCACGGTTTGGCTTGCACCTCGGCGTTCGGTGTTGAGTGAAGCCTGCGTTACTTGTCTACTTAAAGGGCCTCCTGACTTGGTAAGTAGGTTGCAAGTAAGGGTATGACCAGGATAAATGTTCCAGGTGAGGGTAATGTGGGGGCCTGAATGTTAAGCAAGACTATTCCGCCGGGGGCCCATGATCATATTAATATAGTGGATTCCCCCTTACACCTATTCTAGTTATTTGCTCATCGCTCCCCTACATTATTCATGACTCTACTTGCAACCCATTTCTTCAGTCGCCTCACGACTGTGTCGCTTGAAGGCTTTCGGGCTGGCTATGGGGCTTAGGGAATTATTCTGTTCCAGAGGCTACGCACTAAACCCTAAACCTCTGAGTCCTTCGACACCCTCCTAAAAACCTAGGGTTTAGGGTTTTAGGGTTTAGGGTTTAGGCTTTAGGGTAAACAAAACCAAGGGATTAGGGTGTAGGGTTGTATGGGAAACCTGGACCTTGCAGCTCAGACGCTGCACCCTGAACCTTAAGCCCTGCAAACGGATTGGGTAGTTCTCTAAATTAGGGTCCCTTTTTAAGTCCCAATATAGTACGGCACCCTTATGAGAAGGACCCTAAAGGGGACCCTAATTTAGAGAAGTACCCGATTAAACGAAGACCCATGCGGCGAAGCGTACAGCTGTGTCTTTGTCAAAGCTCAGTCAGCTTTAGGAGTTTAGGGTCTAAAGTTTAGGGGTTAGGGTTCGCGGCTTTGGGGCTTTAGGGTAAGGCTTTAGGGTATAAGGGTTTAGGGTTTAAGGGTTTGGGGTTAGGGGCATAGGGTTTAGGGTTTATAGGTTTAGGGATTCAGGCCAGGGGTTTAGGGGGGGCTGGGTGTCCGGCTTTTGTGGTGAATAAACTGTTAAACTGTCATCACGCCCAGCGTCACATTGAGGGTTTGAGATTCCGGGCACAGAATCTCTTCCGATCATGCCTCCGTGGGTGTATTTATATATGCACCGTGGGACTGCCTTTCGTTGTTTCTTGTTGCTATGTCGCCGTTCACCGGGTGACGTCACCCTAAACCCTGCTAGCATCGCTACGATCGAGTTGGTGGCGCACGCCCCAACCGCGAGACTCGAAGCCTCAAGGCCTAAGTCATCATGATATAGCCCCATGGCCCGAAACCCCAAACTCCTAAACCCTAAGCCCCTGAACCGTCACTCAACTCTGCGCTAAGTGTGTGTTTGGGTTCCTTTCTTTCTTATTAACTCTTTTTTCGTCTGTTGTGGCCCTGAACCCGACATCCAGGGTTGAGGGTTTAAGGTTTCCCTAAAATCCTAAACTGGAGTTTTTTCAAGGCCCCCAAGATCCCCCCAAACCGCCGGAGGCCCGACGGTCGTTTACTTGGCCTTGTCCAATCCTGGCTACCTGCCGATCCGGCTCGGGGACCCGGCGCAGATGCATACAGTACTACGGTTGATGATATAAATCCTACATTACCCATAACAAGGAATATACAATTATTCCCATAGTTTAGGAACCTTAAGGTAATGCAGGATTTGTATCATCAACAGTACTATAGAAACACTCATACCCACTCTCGTCCTCATACTAGTACCAGTTCTAGTAACTAGTGCTTGTGCTGAAATTATTAACATTAACATTGACATTCAACACCGATACTAATACTACTAATACCACTATTAATACTGATGCTGATGGAACTCTATCTCATACCAGCACCAGTGCTAGGACCAAGACCAAGATCTGGGCCAGGAGAGAGGACCAATACCAATGCCCATATCGAGACCGATACCAATACCAATACCAGTAGCAACACCACTAGTAGTGTCTGTTATTGTTAGTGGTGTCAATAGACATATACGTAGACAGATGCACGGGTAGATGGACAGGTAGATAGGTCAATAGACAGATAGACAGAAATTGGCTTAAGGGTTTTTGGAGTTTTAGGGATCAGGTCAGGGTTTCCTGTCTGGTAATTGCTAATAATGCGTTTCTGGCAAGTTTTCCTACCATACCACGTCGTAACATAGCACAGCCAATAGTTCAAGCACGGCCATGATAAGATTGTTCTGAGGTTCAAGGGTCTGGGTTTGAGGAGTTCTGACAGCCCGGATCCCTCGGACCTGTGAAACTCGGGCCTTCTACTGCTACGGCTTGGGTAGTTGAAGGCGGTTGGGGATGTAAAAGAAAAGCCGGGGAGTTTGGGGTTCGTATTTAGGTTTTTAGCTGTTTTGTGGTTTAAGGTGGTTTTGGGTTTGAGGTTTAGGGTTTCGGGGTTTTTGGTTCAGGGTTTCGGGCTTCGGGTTTAAGGCTCTACAGCCATTCTTGCGGCCATGTCTGCTTTTGCCAACTTAAGGTATACGGTTTAGGGTAACGGTTTCAATTAGTATTGTTCGTACCGGTACTAGTGCTTGTGATCAGTATGACTGTGTTGCTCAACCCTTCCTAACCCTTCCGGCCATCGTCAGTCCAAGCTCGGCATGCTGTAGTCTCTGCAGCCGAGGTTTTCCTTCCAGACGCCAGAGAACTTGAACCTGGAGAACGTCCCGTACTGGTGAGCCCTCGGTTTGGGGGTTTGGGGCTTGAAGCTGGGTCCGGCATTCATTGCTTGTGTTTTCTCTGTTTCGTTTTCTTTCCGAGGCCCCTAAGCCCTAAACCCCTAAACCCTAAACCGTCATTTGCTCTTCTGTGTGCAGGAAGTCTACATCATCTGCGTGAGATCCTAAAGACCAAAAAAAGGAAGAAAAGACTCGAAACATCTCGAAGCCTGGAGCCCCGAACCCTGATCCCCGAACCCTAAGCCCTATATTATAGGGTTTAGGGTTTCGAATCTCCCAAACCCCATAATCCTAAAGCCCCCGAAGAACGCAGAGAACCCAATAGTATTCAATAGTACCACAATAATATAAGGAATATATACCTTAAATTTCTAGGGGCCTTAATATTATGGTTTAAGGTCCATTCCTTAGTTAAGGGTGCCTTAATATTATGGTTGAAGGTATAATTTCTTAATTAAGGGGCATTGGGCTCTCTGGGAAGACGTGATTGCAGGTGTGACGAGAAGGCCCTCGTGGATGAGCGCGAGGCGCACTTCAGCTGGGCCGGGCAGCCCGGCCACTTCGTTTTAAAGGCTCGGCCTCTCAAGCCTTACGATTTCCTAAGCCCTAAACCCTAAACGCCTAACCCTGAACCCCCTAAGCCCCCAGACCCTAAACCCTCAACTATGAGGCGCTTAAAAAAAACACCCTCGTTAACTGATATAACAAAGCCCCACAAGGCTGCAGCCCTCTAAATTCAGGCCTTGGAGCTTCTAAGGTGGAGGAGCACGGTGTCTACGACATTCAGCCTCGCAGCGGTGCGATCCCCCCCGGGGACTTCTTGCATGTCGCGGGCCCAGGAATGTCTGGTCCAAACTGCAGGGCTTGTTTCATCGGCGAAGAAGTCTTGTTTAGGGTGGGGTGTTAAAGGATTTTTTAAGGTTACCATAATTGGGGGTCTATAGTAAATAATATGGTTTCTTTATTGTTGTAACTAATCCCCTAACAAGAACCCAGTGTTTGGGGAGGGGTGATTTACTATTGTGTATTTGGGGTGTCGTGGAAATTGTTTTGAGCGTTAGGGCTCTGATCACGAAACATAATTTTAAAGGATTCCTTCACGGGTTCCTTTGAAACCCACAAGGGCTACGGCTACTGTAAGGTTTAAGCCTTGTTACGGGGTTTGATGTACGAGGTGTGCAGGTGTACGGGGCTGGCTGAACCCTTCACCTCGGCAGCGGCTTCTGTGCCCCCTGTGTTCGATATGCGTTTCTTGTCTTGCCAGGCAGTTGGGCAAGATTTGTCACACAGGAGCTCAGTTACATAAGGCTCGTGGGTCTAATGGCCTGTAATACTACGACATGAGGAATGTTGAGCTGCGATTTTTCCAGCCTGCTGTGAGGTTGCGGGGTGGGGCTAAGAATGAATTGGAGTCTCGCATGTTGTATATCATGGCTAGACTCCTGACAGCTTGCGTTTGCAGAGATCCACAGCATCTGTCCAGGCCATTTTTGCAGTTGCGTGAAGTAAAGCGGCTCAGGTCAAGTTTACGTACCACCACCACAGCATCGGGACGCACATTCTCCCAGTCGTCTTCAATGTGCCCTGGAGGAAGAGTTCAGGCGCGAACAGCGAAAGATAATCAACAGCATCGTAGATGGGTTTTGTTTGGTACTGTTCATCTTGGCACTCATCTGAGTCTTCGCCGCTGTCTTGTTGAGAAGCCGTCCACTGCCACCACGGTCTTCATTGCTTCGACATTTGCGGCAAACGCCGACAGCGAAGCAGTATACACTTGCGAATAATACGGCATATTCAGAGAAGGAGAGTGTTGGGTGGCACTGCACGCAGGTCTATTCGGAAGGGGATGCTTCCAGCTATTTTTATGTTTTCTTTTGTAAAGAACCCAGAGACACCACAACATCTGAGTTGAGCCATATACAGCTGATATACGTAGAATCCTTAACACGATATCGGGTACGTTCATCTTCTGAGGGGGTTCCGACAAGGCATGTTGGCATAGCAACCCAAACTCCTGTCCTGCAAACCCTAAACCCTAAACCCCTGAGCCTCTAAACCCCTAATCCCTAAACCCCTAATCCCCTAAACCCCTAGACCCCTAAACCCTAAACTCCTAAGCCCCTAAGCCCCTAAACCCCCTAAGCCCTAAGCC